TGTACCACCCACTTATTACACCATTTGGTGAAAATGCCCTTTCTTCAGAAACAGAATCTGTTTCCAGGCACATCAGGACTTGCCTTCCTGCTGTAAGTTTATTTAAAATTTTGTCCTGTTTAAGAATAGATGATAAAGCTAAGGAAGGAAGGAAGGAAGGAAGGAAGGAAGGAAGGAAGGAAGGAAGGAAGGAAGGAAGGAAGGAAGGAAGGAAGGAAGGAAGGAAAAATAGGATTATCATAATAGTGAGATTTATCCAAATCTGCATAGTATATGTGCAAATCCATTGTGGCCTTTTGTAATTGATTATGACATCATTGATTTACTATGGTTAGTCATACAGTCAGTCAGATATTTAGACTGAATTTGGCCATTTTATCCACCTATAGAATCCTTCCCAAGGACCTGGGATAGGCAGATATAGCTGGTTTTTTAAAAAAATGATATTAAAGGTATAGTTGTAGGATGTAGGCTCTTATAAGTAAAGCTGCCTTTTATAGTCTATTATATTTATATCATGCCATGTATGTATGTCAACTGAAGGAGCTGAACATAGCTACAATAGCAGCTCCCCACAATAACAGGTCCATAAGATAGGTTGGACTAAGAAAGAATGGCTGGCCCAAAATCACTCAGCCAGATTTCAGCCTAAGCGAGGCTGGTTTGTAGACCAACATCTTCACCACTACACCAAACTGGCCCTCTGTGTACGTAAGAGGATGTGAGACAAGGAAGGAAAGCAAAAGTTAGTAGTGAAAGTAGAGAGGTTTTTGGCTGTTAAAGGAAAATGTCTAGAATAAAGACTACTAGAAGATCATCCAGCCTGTATCTGAAAGTTTTCTGAGCCTGGGGTTGGGGGTGGGGGGCTGTATAGTGTAGCCATCTTCTGTTGGCAAGTGAATATCTGAGACATGATATATGCATGCTTATACAGAGTTTCCTCTACTTTTAGGAGTATTATCCATTCTAACCACTTAAAGGCGATGATAGATTGTAAGAATAGACAAGGCACAAACAAGAATACATTGTCTCAGATTTTAAGGGAGAACTGGGCCACTTCTAAGCTCTGGAGGTCCCTAGACATAGTAAAAATTGATGTGTAATTTTTATGTTTTTAAATAAAAAAAATTAAAATTACATTTAAGTCCCCTTAGGCCTTGAGGCCCAGATCAAATGGTCTTCCTACTTCCTTTTCCTTTGACTAGCACAGGACAGAAACATTCTACTCTCTTCATTTCTACAGAAAGATATTTGGCTAGAAAAGACTCCTGCAAAGTTGATATTTGATATGCAGGAATCAAGTCTGATATGCCACTTTGAATCTGAGACAGAGAAAATAAGTCATATTTAGATCATTTAAATTAAGATCAGTTAAATTGATCAAATGAGGAATTCCCAAGCAAGGGAAGAGAAAAACTGTCCCCTAAACTGAGCAGAAGAATGTTGTTCTTCCAGGGATAACATCAATGGAACTCAGGTAGGTTACTTTTAGCAGGGAAAAAGTGGTTCCTTTGCATATTAATTTGTTATGTTTATTGCTGCTATGTACAACAACATCAAAATAAACTAGAAAAAAAAATACACTATTTCTTGCTCTTAAAAGTAACAAAAATGTACTTCTCACCTCAACAAGTTTTGGCATACTGTTCCTTGCAATAAAATTAACATTCATCTTTTTCAAACTTAGGTGATTACTTCATCCTATCTCTATTATGTACTTTTTGTCTCCTACAGTACAATATAAAAATAGTAATTTATTAAATTTATATGCCGCCTGGCCGCTAGAAATTCTGGAATACACTTGCCATCAGCTCACTCTTCTTTTTTGTTCAGTTAGAAATTCACACAAATAAATTTGTTAGGTGGGACCAGTGTTCTTTATTTCATCTACTGAGACCTGAATCTTTCAACAGTTAATGTTGAGTATATGAATATTCCTAGGAGAGTATTTTCTTGCTCTCTATTACAACAAATCTAAGCAAATTTCAACAAGTAACTTGCCAGATGTATAATTACTGCTATTCAGCTTTCAGTTTTTAATTCTATCGTGAATAGATTCTAAATAAAGACCAGGTCTAGTCAAGGTTCTCCATTATAGTCCAAATTTCAGATTCAAAATGCAAGTGTGATATTACAAACTCAGTATAAGTAAAAATTTTGTTGAGCTGAGGATAGATAGACCATATGATACAGATTTCAGAGGTGATTCTTTTCAGAACTGCTTAATCAATAAATTTATTAATTGTAATCTGTTATTCCTAGAGAAAATTTAATCCTATGATACATGAAGTTTATTTTCTGTAAATAATTAACAATAACTATTAATATTATTTTGATCTAATCCTAAATCCTGAATATATTTTGAATTGATTTATCAATTTGGTTTGTGAAGCCAGGGTTATACTTTGGAGAGCTGGATTCAAATTTCACTTTAATGTTATGCTTTTGGCATAATTTCCTCTTCTGTTTATAGAGAAGAAAAATTCAAAAAGCATGTCTATTTGCATAAAATAAATTGTAGTGAAGATTTGGATAGAGTGGTTCATAGTGTTAAGTGAAAGGATAACACAGCTAGCAAAGGTACAACATGGTGGTACATATAATAGTATACATCATTTAAGGCACATTCATACAATGTCTTTCTAGCATTTCAGAATCAGCTTTATACTTATGTGATCACAAGCCACAATTTGTTTGGCAGCTATGCTGATTTATTTGTAATTCTGCTGTGGCATATTTGAAACCACAGAAATCACCACTGTTTACTTTGTGCATTGTCCTTTCCTCATTTGTACAATCATTTGCATCACCCCATCTTCCACTCCTTAGGCAAAGAAGGGTTGATGACTTTTCAGTTCCCTTTCTTAGGGACTTCTCAGTTTTCTTTTTTCTTTTTAGGCAATTGGATAAATGAACATAATATAAAGTAAGGACATGGATAATGATTAAGATGTAAGCAATTTATTCATCCCATTTATATAGATACCATTTTATAGACTCCCGTTTTTATATAACTAGGCAAGTTGTTCCCTATTGGGTCATTGTTTCAGAGATATTTCTTTACCAGGTCATCAATGCCTTCAACAGTGACAGAACTTCTAATATACTGCCTTCACTGGAAAATGTTGGGATACATTTCTAGATGTATATGTCTTGAAAAAAGCCCATATTGCATGGTATAGCTAATCAAACATCCGCACAGAAAGCCTTTTATGACATTTTGTATTAGGTCATAAATTGTTTTATGATAATGCTTATATCATAAATTGTTTTATAAAACTTGGCAAATTTCCATTCCATGGAAATCATGATCCTGGATTTTGAATGTAAGTTAGTCCATTTGAGGTACCTTGGTTCAAAATGATGCATTGTTTCACACATTTAAAGGTTACTGGAATCAAAGTTTTAATAGTATATCTAGTAGACAAGAATCTGTGGGATTTTTTTGGAAAACACCTAGATGTCTCACAGAGCAGAGAAAAACCAGGCAGTAATTAAATAACATACTTGTTCCCTATTATTATAATTTTTGAAGACTAATACAATCATAAAAGTGGGACTTTTTCATCCAAATTTTGACCTGAAAGGAATCCTCAAATCTTTGTTCCCCAGACAAATGTTGTCTAACTTTTGCTTGAAAGCCTCCAGCAATGGAGCACTCATGACTCCAGGAGACAAGTTGCTCTACTATTTAATAACTCTCATCATCAGAAAATTCCCACTTAAAATTTTGAGTTTTGGTCTGCATCTATGAAGCTTCCACCCATTGGTTCTTGTCCTACACCCAGCAGCTATGGAGAAAAAATCTACAGTCTCTTTCCTGTAATTGACACACCTTCAATTTTTGAGAGAACTGCAATTTTTGAGAGAACTGTAATTGACACACCTTCAATTTCTGAGAGAACTGTAATTGACACACCTTCAATTTTTGAGAGAACTGCTATTACATTTCCTTTTAGCCTTCGTTTCTTCAGGCTAAATATACCCAGTTCCTGTAACTCCTCTTCATAACATTTAATTTCAAGTTCTTCACCCCCTTTGTCACTTCTTTCTACTGTGCCCAGTTCCTCAGCCTCCTCCTTAAATTGTGGCAACCAGAACCGGGCACAGCATTCTAGACTGGGTTTGATCAACACAAGACACAACATAACCATCATTTCTTATAAACTTTAAATTACAATTTTGATGCAGCCAAAGATTGTTTTGCCTGTTTTGATAGCTGCAGCACACTGCTGGTTCATGCTTAATTTGTAATCATGTAGGATGTCCACAAGTCCTTCTCACAAATACTGCTGCCAAGCCAAATTTTGCCTTTCTGTGCATCTCTCCCCCCCCCCCATACACACTAAGCACAGAACCTTACTTCTTTTTGCCAATGAACTGCATAGAGTTGGAGAGGACCTATTAGAGTCTGTCTTCTGTCATTTTAGCAATCTTCCCCTCTGATGCCACCAAGCTTTGTGTCATCAACTCTTAAATTAGCAGGACTATTTTGAGGAAATCAAAGGTAGAAACATTACCAGTGATCTTTTGCTTCATAGAAAGATGGATCCACTCTAGGCCAGTAAAATGTTGCTACTAATACAGAAAAGAGTGAGTTACAAATTGCTACATTAATGAAAGGCACTATTGACATTTATTCTGATAAGCACCACACGTAAACCAATAAACCGTGAGAACTGGATGGAGAATTGGTGAGCCAATTTCAGCAACAAGTCTCCCATGGGGAACTATTATTAAGCAAATCTTTATAGAGCAGAAGTTTTTTTTTAGAAGGCACAATAACTGAAATGGCAGATAGTTTAGAACAGAAATCTACATTGAGCCTCATTCGACTTTAAAAGATGGGTAGCTTAGATATCAACTTGAGAACAAATAAATGAAATAAAATTCTAGAATTCTTTTCAGTCTATGAGATAGGGATCTGAATACTTTTCTTTGTAGTGGCTGAAGATATATTTTAATTAAATTTGCCTTCCTCTTTTATTTTCTAGCCCAAATTCTACCATACTAAAAATATTGTTTTACCACATCATTCTCTACAGAAGAATTCCCCAACCAACTCCCATAGAAAGCCATGCATCTACAAATTGATAATGGACATAATCCAAAAATATATCTCCAATTTCCTGGTGGATTCCATTCCATGGATACCATGCTATTAGAATGTAAACTAATATCTGGATGATTAAACCTCTGAATGAATAGAATTAGAAGAAAAAGTCCTGTTCAATAGGACAGCGTTAAATATTATCGTGCAGTGCTACAAACATTGATCAAATTATGATTTTTTTAAAAAATTCTATTTTCAATCTTTAGAAAAAGGTGCTGATAAATTCAAAAGAGCAAAGAGAAGAGCAACTAAGAAGCCATGATAGAATGGTTAACGATTGGGCAGTGAAAAAGAGGATGATAAAAATGAAACATTGCGAGAGAATATGAGAGGTTTCTCGTAAGAGAATACAAAAGACAGAACAGGTAAGATTGATGAATATTAACAGTGAATACAGAAAATTCAGATGAAATAAGAAGTCATTTTGATCAGCCAAAAGCAGATAATAACCACTGATACCTGTGATCACCAATCTGTCTGTCTGTATCTCCTGGGATACCATGCTTCCTGTTACACTTGATTGTGTTTGTTAGAGTTAGATCTACATTAAAAGAAGAGGAAGTCTGGCAACTTATAAAAAAGTGCCTACCACTTTATTGACAATAATACCTCTGGAATCTAGACAGGCATTCTTAGAAAATAACAGTGTGAGTGACTACTGCCATGTGCTTTGTTTGGGAGTATTCCCAGATGCCTTCATTGAGTTTTTCAATCCCCATTTTAAATTTTGCTCCTAACAGAGCATTGAGTTTGCCCATCCTGTGACACTGGGGTTTCAAGGGATGAATCAACATTTTTTTGTTCTATTCCTAATTAAATCCTAAGCAAATTGAATCTTATTGTTGCAGTGCTGGTTGGTATCAGTGATTTCCTTTTCTTTGGTGTTGCTTTATCATGCTATCCGGTTCCTGGACACAAACAAGTCCTTCCTCAGGAAAGGAATACAAGCAACATTATCAGAGAACATGATCTTAATTCTTATAGGCAATTTCTAGGTAGTTCCCCAATCCTTATAAATTCTGTTTCTGCTATCCTCATTCTTTATTCAAGTATCAAGCACCATTTTTTAATCTTTCTTTTTTAATTAAATTCTTAACTTACCCAATCTAGGACCTTAAGACCTGGGCTGCAAATATATATATGATCTGTAGATGGCAGAAAATAAACCTATTATTCAGTGGTGGGATTCAAATACATGAACAACCGGTTTTCTCTGTGGATGCCACTTCTGGATGTCCATTCTGGGCCTGGGCAACAAAAAATTAGCTACCGTTCTGCTGAAATGGTGCAAACTGGCTGAATCCTACACCGCTGTTATCTCTTTCTTTGTTGCCCTCTAGTAGCTATTTGGATATTTGCAGTTAAGTTCTGATAATCCTAATCCTGCCTCTAGGCTTAAGAAAACCATTTAGGTCCCTCACACAAAGACTCACACAGCAATCTAGATCCATAATACCATGTAGATCTATTTACCATGTTAATATGGTACTGCGTTATGTTTCCAGCATCATAGTTTTTTTTTTTTCAGGAAGAAAACTGACTTATAATATGGGTAACAACTGCTCTGCTTGTTTTATTTGCAGATAGTCCAATATATGTCCACATTATATCAAGAAAATGTATAGTGGTGGGTGTTAGCAATTTATTTTCTTTTTATTTGAAGTCAGGACGGGAATTTTCATTATTGCAGAGTTGTGGCAATTGATGAGGTGAGATACTAATTAAGTTACATTTTTAACTCTCCTATTGGTCAACATCAGTGAGAATTGATTGATTTACAACATTGCCTACCTGTTGTTTAGAGGTTGACAGAAGTGAAAACAATTGAAGATTGCCTTTCAACTAAGGGAATCACTAAGGAATTAATATTATGTCAAATAGCCTAAATGTTTCTGACAGCCTGCCCAGTATAATCTGAACTGCGATCAAAAGATCACATTCCACTATCATGGCGTAAGGTTTAACTACAGTATATCAACTTTTATCCATGAATGGAATGATGGTGAAGAGGCAATTTTATACTTTTTTTCAGGCAATAAAGAGGCCCTGATCTCAAATTATTGATCAACTGACACTTTACAAAAGAAGGAAAGGTACACAATAAGAAACCATCTCTCATGCCTTAATTTTATAATAATTTCAAGTATTTATCACAGTCACAAGTTAAACATATTAGTGTTTGTTTGTGCCATTATCTAACTAGCTGAATTGTAATATTGGCTATTATCTTAACACAGATAGCAATAAACTTCAAGGAAATAGATATTGGCATATTATGAGTAATGATGATTGGGAATAATAAAAGTAAGGTTGCAATCATGGTTGTATACAACAGTTCTGTAACAGTTCTGTATTGTACATTGAACAATAATGCACAATCCCAGGGCACATAGAAAACTCAAAATGAGAAAGGATTCAAAGTTCCAATCCAATTCCAATGTTTAACCCATTCTACATTTTTACTATGTTTGAATGTGCGTTTCACAAACACAGAGACATGTTCATGTGGGTGAATGTAGCTACCAAATAAGGGCGGATGGGTGGGAGGGAAGAGATGAAGGACAGCAAAGATTCTAAAGATTTTGAAGGGAATATGGGAATATCTGAACACGAGAAGTGAGCTGCTAGGATGGATGTTAAATTGATCCAGAATTTTATCCCTGGTGAACAAAGGAGATTATTAAAACAGGAGACCTCTCTGCAAAAAAAAAAAAAATGAACAAGAGATAGAGACCATGAATTAAAAACCCTCAGGTCTTGAGATAGTGAATGCTACTCACACCCCAGAACAGGGAAATGAGAAACAATTATGATGTTTAGTGGGAAGAAGAAGAAGAGTAAATGGCCCTGAAGTAGGAGCTTGTCTGGTGTTTTAAATATATTATCTCAAACTTATAGTCTCTAGCAATCAATACATGTTCTAATTAAGGAAACTATTAACACCCTTTCCTCCCCTCCCAACACTAGCCCCAACCTCCCCTAACATGAGTCCCTTTCTTAGCACACATATAGAACATCCAGATAAATTTCCCAAACTGGCAAAAGCAATCACTGAAACAACTTCAAACACCACAGATCAAGGAAAACCACAACTCATAAGTCAACTCCCCTTCCCCTACCCCATGCCTTTGCTTAATAAGGAAATACTGTACATATAAAAAATTACCCTCTTCCCCCAACCTGAATATAACGCTATAATAAGCCTCTATTATATATGTACATTTATATCTACATATAACCGCAGTTAAATAAGCGGATGATATATATGGCACAACATGAATACATAACATTAATAACAATGTTAAGAAATGTTGCATTGTTTCTGCTTTGAAAAAAAAATTGAATTAAACTGAATCAAGAAAAATAGTAAATTTTATGTTTGGAATGTGCCCATGCATACTCAGGGGTTTTTGAGACATACGTTTTTATATTCAACTATTTGCATCTGTACCAGAGCTTATTATGACGGTAACACAGTTGACTCAATATGGTTGGGTGTTCAAAGAATTTAACCTAGCATTTGACATAAGTTAAATAAATTATGTAATAACTGACATAATATCAGCATTTTTTCCTTTGAATAGTTCAAATTATCTATTTGTCATACTGGCTTGACTGGATCCAAATTTAAATTGGTCTATGGTAAGAATTTTGCATGAGTCAAAATTTATTTCTAAACTTTGTAGTGGTATGGTAAATATGTGTTAAGTTAGCATGCAAATCAGTCTTGTCACATACAAACCACCCTCTGGATCCATTCAGCTCACTAATTCATCATTAAAAAGAGCAACAAAGGTTACTTGAAGTTCACCAATTTAATTCAAATGTTGATCTTTGTACTCTTCAGGAATTTTAGGAAACAAATCTAAAATATACCTCATTTAGAAGAGGCATGTTCATTGGCTCCATTGGCTATTAGTCTGTTATTGTTCTGGTTACATGAATTGACATTTCATCTTCTTATTAAGTTTTGACATTCAGTGGATTTACTAATAAAGCATATCTCCTGTTTGCATATAATCTATAGGATAATATAATAAATCGTATTATTGTACAGCAGTATAATCTGGGAACATTTAAAACCTAGAAACTGGCTTCAGAATTACTGCTTATGAGATGCTTGAGCTTTGTTTGAGGTTTAGTTTGATGGGTTCCAAAAATGGAAATGAAACTAGATTTCTAACTGGTGATCATAACCCCAACCAACCTTTCCAGTGGTGGGGATGTAAGGAATATTAAGAACAGGGATTATGGCTTAAAAGCCTATTTGGCTACAAACGGGAAATAAGCCCTTGAGGGACAAGGCTAGTGTCCCATTAATACGTTCTTCATATTGGAGCAGTGTCCAGCAGGACAATAGACATGATCACATGGACAAACCTAGTATATTCAATTGCAGGGAAGCACTTACAGGAGAGGACATAAAAGCAGATAAGAAAAATTTATTTCCCTCTTCTTTTGATGTCAGGAACCTGGACAAAATGGGCTGAAACCAACAGAAGTCCCATTTTGCAGCAGATGGGAAATAGATATAAACAACATGCTAGCTCTTTCTGGCAAGAATGCTATGTTAAATGATGTTAAGGAACTCATACATGCCTGTTCTAATTTCTACATAATAATAACCTAAAGAAAAAGAAAGTAATCAGTTTATTAATTATGACTTCATTTAGAAGTCCTGGAATATTTTACAGATTTAAATGAAGAAATCTAGGGTTTTACTTATCCTCCTCCCCCCCTACCATGAGCAGTGTTAAAAAAAAACCTGCCAAAACATTTAAGTCCAAATTGAAATTATGTTGGATTTTTGCTATTACAAGAATACAGATTTACCTATACAAGGCAATTTCAGGAAAAGTTTTAAAACCAGTAGATTAGCATTGAAACAAGGCAACACATTTTCTCTGATGTTTTTGGTGACATACAAAATATCCCACTCACCATATTCCTGAAGCACCACACATTATGGCAAGATATAACATAAGATGGTGTATTGCTACATTGGCAGACATTATATCACATCTGTTATAGAATGCCAGAATAAGTGGTCTGGCAGCATGCCATACTCAGTTAAACAGCTTGGAAAATCTGCCATTTTTTAAAAGAGAAAAACATCACATCCCTTATCCCCTTACACATTTACAACATATGTACTGCAATGGCTCTAGAATTAGTATTAAGAAAGTATTTCAATACATTATCCTAAAGCATCTGAATAGCAAAAATGTCAGTTATGTATGTTCAGGTACAGAACCACTCACTCAAGCAGAAGACAATGAATCAAGTTTATGCAATGAGAAAACTAAGCAGAAGGAGGAAACTGAGTTTCTTAAATGATGAACATACAATTTTGTTTGTGTATTATACTAAGTTTCATGTATTTTTGGCAAGTTAAACAACCAACATCACCGTCTCCATAAACAGCACCTGCAGCTAAAATTTCCCATCAGATCCACATGTGATATTTTTAGTAGGATAATATCCAGAACTTTAAATTATAAAATCATAATAATATTTAAAACATAACCTAGGTATGTGCTTGAACCAACCTTCTTCTTCTTGGTCAAATTTCAATAGAAAGAAAAATAAAATTTTCAAGATAGATGGAGAGATCAAGAGGCTAATTCTCTTATACTAAAGCTGTAAACACAATGCCTGCATATGAACTGGTATTGAAAGTTCCCCAACATTTCTACTCATCTTTAAGCAGACATGTTTCATGCTCTGTGCACACAAATTAATATTGATAATTTAATATTATCAAATCTTAGCTAGAGTGTAAACATGTGAATTCAATATTCAAACTAAGCTAGAGTGCAAGAAAATTAAAACCAGAATAAACCTACACCCCAAATATACATCTAGAATCATTCTGAGAGTTCAGTTAATATCTTTTTTGGTTTGCTTTCAGTGAACTTTTCTTCTGAAGCACTACAATACTAATATTTTTTGATTTCAGCTGAGAAAGGGAGCTAGCCAGAGGCAGGCTCATCACTAGAATTAAACCCAGCTGTTTAATACATTTTAAATACTAAGTGTTAATTGAGAGATTTTCCAGTCCCAAACTTTCCAAGCTAATATAACTTTGGAGAAGTTCCTGTAATTTGGGTGCGATTTAAACTGAACAAACAAAATGAATTTACTCCATCTGAAGGAAAACAGCACAATGATAATGAGTTTATAATCAAGCAAGGAATATGAAAGCCTTGCTAGTGAAGTTTAAGATGATCCATTGCCATTTTTCTAAACATGAGGAAAAATATGACAACTGTGATTTAGAAAGAGGTATTCAAGACATGCAGTTTTCTCTTATTATTTCCCATTTGTAATTGTATGGGCCAACATAAAGCTACTTCCAGATACACAGACTGAAAACTGTTGGAGAAAATGCAACAACTAAAACCCCATATCCTCTCAAAACCTGATTATTCACAAGAAGAGAAGCACTAGTTTTATACAAAATGCAATAAAAAAAAATCTCAATTTACAAATGAGATGAATGTCTTCCCAAGTGCCCTTTGTTAAAGGATTCATCAGTTACTTTGTGTACTGCAGACTACTAAAAAGTACTTTTTCTAAGAGGGACAAGGGAAACAAAGTAAAAGGCATTCTGCTCTTCCAGACATCACTCCATCCATTACCTAATAAAGTTCAAGCCCATATTTACCCTCTCTACCAAAAGACAATGCCTTCCAATGGCTTCAATGCAGCAAAGATATTGAAAATATAAAGCCCAGTGGGGTATGGGTGAAAGGACATGAAAGGAGAATCAGTTGCCAAAAAAATGTGGCTCAAAAAAAAAAAAGCTGTTTCCATAGTTCAGAGCTTGTGCCTCTCCATTTATTCAGTTCAATTGCAATCTGCCAGCTCTTTAGAAGAGACACTTCTGCCTCCTGTTCTGTTAGGAAAGCAGATCAACAGACCCAGGAAAAAGTGAGATGTTTTGCCACATATTTGGGAAGCAACAGTTAGCCTATTGCTCTTACCTGAGGGTTCCTGATGTAAATGAAACAATCTCACTTTGACTATAAGTAGTTTTATTCAGATTTCCAATTATTCCTCCTTGAGAGAAAAAAACTGCTGCAAGCAATACTGCATTGCACCGAGAAGAGGTCCAGAACAACTCTAATGCTGCTAAATACTAGTTTTCCTGTTTAGCATCTCCTGGCCTCCTCTTAACTTTCTTGCTTCTTCCTACCTCTGTTCTCTGATCCCCACTACAGCAACTGTGGGAACTGATATTTCATCTCCTCATGCCCTGTGGAAGACAAGCCATAGTTCCACAACACTATAGTTATCAAATATAAGTATATATTCAATAAATATACATATACACATGGTATGAGTTGTGCTGGTCCTATTCTCCCCACCAGCAGCACCACCTCCCGCACTTTCTATTCAATTCCAACAGCAGAGAAAGCCTTTTGCTATAGTCTCTCAAAATCTCCTTTTGCAAGAGAAACACGGACATGGCAGTTGAGAAATCTCCCTTCCACATTTAATTCATCAAAAGAATAGTGGAGTTTATGGAGCTGCCAGCCTTCTTTTCTAATCATTAAGATTTTTTATTCATCCACACTGCAGAGGCTTGTTCTGCTGGGGTGAGTAAGAAAAATACTTCAGTGATGTTACATTAGTTTTGTTTTTGTTGTCTGTATTTGATGTAAATCATTATTTAAGAGAGCTGTGCACAAATCAATCCACATCCAAATGTTTATGGTTTCAAAATTAACAATGAGTTTTCATGAGTAGAGAAAAATCAGACAGATTCCCCACCCCACAAACCCATCTTTTAATTTTCTCAAGACTCTTGGTAATAGTTTCCTGTTCTCACTTGTCTTAGCTTCTGTAATTTCAGCCTATCCTTCAGAAATCGCCTTGATGGACTGCCGTAACTGAACATCCAAGCAGATCTCCACACCTCCTTTTTCCATAAGATATATTGTATTCCAAGATGTAAGTATCTATGCAATTTCAATTTTTACCCTTCCCCTAAAGTCTTTATAAAAGAACTGAATGTATTTCATTAAATAAATTCCACATTAGTTGTATCTCACAATTTTTTTAAAAGTACAGATATAAAAAGAACTAATCTTTGAAACACCATTCTTTCCTCTGCTCTGTACCTTACATGGTATTTTCATATCAATACTAACCATCCCTGTTTGTTGCTAAGAAAACCCCAATTCTGTATTGGGGTATTGCCCCTACCCATGTGCTGACCTCACCTGATCCATGCCCTGTCTTTTCAACTGTGAAAACACAAGCTAAGCTAGTAAGCTCTGACATGTGATGGTCAGGAATGGAAATGTGAGTAGGGAAATGAAAAGAGATAATCAGGAGTTCAGGTGTGGGGAAAGAAAGAAGTGGCACTTCTCATCAGATCTGCCTAAGCAGAACTCCAATATTCCACATTTTTTTTTAAAAAAGGAAAGAAACAGTAGCAGAAGAGTAGCAAATGGGAGCTAGGATTAAACCCACCACTTGCCCCTCCCATGCTTTGCATTTCCTGCACCATCCCCTCCCATGCTTTTTTCCCCATCACTCAGACATCAGATTCAATACTAGAAAGTTTCTCATAAACATGCCCATTGCTAGAGCCATTGAAAGCCCTGGGGTTTTTGTTGTTAGGCACACAGGGGTTGGACTGGTTCCCTATACAGATGTCCTTCTGGAAACGGGCTGGCACAGCTCCATGAAGAGCTGAGACCACTGGCTTGTTGGTGGTGACAATGGCTCGGAAGTCTGGCCTGGCCTTGGGCCCTCCTGCCACCACAGGCTGCCTGAAGAAATAGGATTTGCTGCCATGGAGCAAGCACTGGTCATCCCCAAAAGTGGGGATGAAAGGGTTTTGAGTGACCCGATCGGGGTAAAGAGACTTGCTTAACATATAACCACCACTAATGCCAGGATTGTTGTGGTGGTGGTGGCTGGTAGCAGGCAGTGAGGACTTGTTGTTGGCAAAAGTGGACTCGCTTGCTGGCATTTCAAACATATGAGCATAAGGGCTTCCCTCCAAAAAGCGGCCTTTGTCCTTTAAGCTCACACTGCGTGGGGCCAAGGCTGCTTCTTCCTTCTGCAGATCCACAAATGTGTCATAGGAGTGCTGCCGGCGGAGCTTGTTGCGATTCTTTTTCTGCACCTTGGAGGCAGAGTTGGAAGGGCTCTGAGGGTACTTGGTGGTGGAGGTGCTGGTTGCCACTGGCACAGGAGCAGATGGCTGATCCAGCTCTTGAAGGGAGTTGTCCTCACTGATATCATAGAGGTTGCCTGCCTTCTTGCAGGCTTCACACCGGATGCATGGCTGACGGGTGGAGTTCTGTCCCACCACACCTGGGGTGTAGTTATGCAGCTTAGATGGGCAACTGCGGCAATAATTAGACCCTGGCCGTTCCTCCCAATCAAGATTGGTAAGGTTTTTTTCCCATGGCACTGGTACCCCACTCACAACACTGTGCTTGTGCTCATTGTTTACTCCAAATTCCCCTGACCCATGTTTGTGATGGGTCCTATTTGTACACGTCCCTGTTCCCCCTAGAGTGTCACGCTTAAAGTCATCTCCCCGTTCTTTATAGATATCTGTCAGATCTACATGTTCCCAATGTGGTGAGTTTTCCTTAGCCCGGAATTGGTCCAAATAGAAATCCCTTAGCCCTTCCTTGTCTCTAAAGTAGCGCTTGTGATCAGGGGAACGGGGACGCCGTCGATAGGCCAGTTCAATCTCATCAAACTCTCTTCGTGATTTAGCTGAGGCTGGGCGTTTCTTTAAACTATCTTTATATTGCTGTTTTCTCCGCTTTGCAGCATTACCTTCAATGTTACCATATGTTACTGTATGAGTAGATATGTCTGAAACATCTGAACGGATTAAATCATCATGTGCCCCTCCTCCACTATATCGATCACTCTTGAATGACAGCTTGCCATAAAGGTCACCTAACTGGCCATGCTTGGCTGGTGGTAAACCAATGTCTAGTGGCTTTTTACTGAGGGATCGAGACTGGGTAGAGAAAGGTGGATTATCACAGTCATATAGTCCATCAATAGAACTGGCACTACCAATGCTATGGGGGCGATGATGATGATGATAATGGTCTTGATAAACATTACTTTCTTTCAGTTGTAGATTGCCGAAAGTCCTTTCTACCTCACTAATATAATCACTGAAAAGATTCTCCTCACAAGGGGGGTTATTATAAGACTTGCAATCAGAGTGGGTAAAGCTGCGGCGGTGTTCAGAGATATCATAAACTGATGATTCTCGGCGGATGAAATCCAGGGCACTTTGTGGTGATCCATTGACACCTGAAAGGTTAGCCATGTTCTTTGCTGTTCGGAGCAGACGCAAAATATTAGAATGGGTATTATTCATGGTGGCAGTGGGAGAATTCATAGAGGACTGATGGTCTTCAATAGCCACTCCATGGATGCAGCTGTAAATACCCTGTGAAGGGAAAAAGGAAAAAAGGGTTAACAGAGAAGCTTAGCAGAGACGCTACAGAGATGGAAGTTGGGAATATGTTTTTTGGTAAATAAGTTTTTATCTTTCAGGGTTTCTTGCTGTATCACTTTCAACTGGGCAACATACTTCCTTTGGAGTTGTTCTCATTCTGCTTTCAGAAAAACGGACAACTTGCATTTGTATCCATTGATTCAGATCATTAAGTCTTTTACTATTACTACAACCATTCTTTCACTTTTTACCCCTAATTGTGCTTTTAGTTCCTTTGTATTTGGGGATCTATTTCTTTATTTACAATGTTTGCTGAAGAGCATCAATCAAAATTATTCTGGTTAATGTACAACAATAAACACAGGAGTAAAAGAACAAATGACAAGAAAAACACCAATACTTAATCAATATAAAAATCAGAAAGCCAACCAGGATCATTCTATAAACTAAAATCCCATTGAAATAAAATGATTTTTAAAGACCTTTGAAATTGTAGGAAGTGCTGTGACAAACTGAAAGATAGGGACAGTATATTGTATGAAGAGGCGATCCCACACCTGTGTTATTCATATGAAGTGGGTGACTTAGCAGCCCTCTCTCAATATTTGGACTGGATGGGCAAAATCAAACTTGAAAAGGAGTCTCTGGTGTATCCCTGTAGCACAGCATATTGTATAAGACTTAATAACTTATTGAATCCAAACATCAATTGACCTTAGGATAAGACTAATCAAATGCAGTATTTGCCCCAGATGTGCAATAGCTAACAAGTTAGTTTCAAATGTAGCGTCAATTTCAGGGCATTGCAGTAGATAAGTTGTGAAAAGATCAAAGTTTTAGACATTGTCATCAAGGCTTCTTAAGCAAGGAAAGGCCATACATCAGTATGCTGATGATTTAGTTATATATTTCTACTTCTGTCTAGTGAAGCAATGATGTTGATGTCCTGGTATTTGGAGACTTTGGGGATCTGGATGGGTAACAACAGACTTCAGCTGAACCCTGAAGATTAAATGGCATGGAGTTTTGAAGCCTTCTGGAGCTGGAACTTTACTGTTTTTGGAAGGTAGCAGTATGCATAAGATAGCCTTTGAATAGCTTCACAATGTGTGCCATTTGTGCCCCTTCCTGGACTATAAAACTTTACAACTCAGTTACTCATGCTTTAGTCACATCCAGGATGGATTATATAGCTCTCTTCATTGGTCTGTCTTTGAAGAGCATCTGAAAGCTTCAGTTGGTGCAGAGTGCAGCTATGTAGATATTATGTATATCCCTAGGGTGGTGCACATTACAATTCAGGGTGTCTTTTCTGTTGTGGCCCCCGTCTTCTGAACATCTTTCCCCCTGAGGTGAGTTTAGCCCCATCCCTGTTAGCCCTCTGAAACACCATTAAAATGTGGTTCTTCCATAAGCCTTGGGGATCCCATGATGAGCTTGCAACAGTAACTTGTCTGTTGTCAAGTGACTTTTTTTCCCATCAGTATAGGGGTTTATTTTTTATTCAAGCTTGTGTGTTTTATTTTTGTTATTGTGATGATGATTATATGCTGTCCAGAGTCATGTTTTGTGAGATAGACTGCTATATTAATTTGATAAACACATACATAGATACATACATACATACTTAGTACACCAGCCAAAGATTCCCCTGGACACAATTTCTAGCTGTTGCTGTAGCAGGAACCAAATCACAGATTATCTCCAGGGTAGTGCAACCCTATCAAGGGCTGATATTATTGGATAGTCACAATGTCAATTGACCAGCAGTAATTCTATTTGGCAGGAATTAATTTGAGTTTGTTTCATCTTATCCAGTTTGTTACAGCATTCAGGCATCAGTTTAAGACCTTAATAGATTTATTTTGTATTGGTTAGCACTATTAGATTACTTCTCTCAAAAATTTCACATAGATGTTAAATAATGTTGGAGAGGAAACTGAGCTCAAATGCTCTCATACCATACGAGAGCACCCAAGCAACCAACCTGACCGCTCTTCACCTGTGACTATGAATCAGAACTGCCCACTTGAGTAAAAGTAAATTTTTTGTAAAAGATGCCTTCAACTTCAAATCCTTGCAGATAGCCTGAAAAATACCATGGTTGAGAGTATTTAATTCTGTTGAGAGATCCACGAGAACTAGAAGATATTAGTATCCCAATTCATTTCTCAACCAAGACTGTCTATAGAATGAACATTGCTATTTGGTCTCATGATCAGCCATGAATTCTGATTCAACAAGATCTAGATAATCTGTTTCTTCCATGATTTTGTAGAGCTGAATCTCTGTCACCCTTCCAACTACCTTCCCCAAGCAGGAAAGACTGACATTGGGTAAAAGTTACATTGCAGTGAGTCTGACCATTTATTTTTCTTTTGGTCACATTAACTAATCTGTTTGTTTAAAACATTCTGCTCAAAACTTACCTTAAACCGTATGTTTATTTCCAATATCTATGTTGTTATTCTTGCCAGGAATGTTGTTCTTAATTTACCTGTGATATATTTCATTTTTTTCTGAATTATGAAGCCTATTAGGTCACTGCCTACTATTATCTTATTAACTCTCCCAAAATATTACTACTAAAATGCACTAAAAGATTACTCTGAAGCTCAAGATACTTTCAATTCCATTGTCTCATAAATTTATTGGATGACGGGACTAGTAATTGATCTATGGTTTTAACTAGCATTAGCTTCTAATTCTGATTCAAGGTGCTCCTTCTTACTTATAATATCCTAAATGAGGCCAACCTTACACTTTGTAGATGTTCTTGGGCACCGTCCTGAGATTTGTTCACTCAGGAATTAGAAACTGTCAAGCCAAGTACAATGTATTAGTTCACTTGGCACAGTCTCCTCTCCCTCTGCACAGCCCAGTCTTTGTTATTCATTTGGATCACAGCTTGTGACCTACAAAGTCATACTTGCTCTAGTCCTTCCCCAGCAATTGTGATAAAGAAAACAGAACATACACACTGTGTATAACATATCTTTCTCAAGCAAAATTCATTGCCATCTTTTGTTCAGTATCTGAATTTGACTTTTCTGGTTACATAATATGATATTTTAAAGTATTTTGAATTAGCTTAACAATTTTATAATCAAAGCCTTGGCTACCAAGATATACTTTAAAGCTGAATGAATTTACAACTTAATAGTTTAGGGTTAAAATATTATTTCAAAATTATTGATGAAGCTTCAACTAATTTATAATGTGAAAGCATTTACAAGAATATTTAATTTTAATGAACACTAGAAGAGCTATGTAGTATTAAGGTAATGGTATATCTAGTCCAGCATTTTGTATCTCATAGTGGTCAACCACATTTTCCATTACATTACATTTTCATTATCCTTGAGAAAAAAATGCTATTAAAATTGTTTAAAAGTAAGGTGATTTGTATTTAATTTTCCTGATTATTACCTTTGCAGGAATGAAAGATTCTGCTAAAGAGGAGAAGAATCCTTTCAGTTATACTCAGAAGCATAAGGGATTCAAGATATCTCTCTTTTTTAGGCAAGGGATGTGCAACCTATGGCCAAGGACCACATGCAGCCTCCCCATTGGCCATTCATAAGTTATCAAACCATGATTTTGAATGTGACAAAAGAAGGATGCTCTTAAATTCACAAGGAGTAATTATAGGGGCAATTGTTTTTTTTAAAAAAAATACTTCCTTTCTAGATCAAATTCTTTGATCCAGCTCTATCCAATTTCAAATGCATGTTCAATAGTGAAAAGTAACCCTCAGTTTTATATTGGGCTAAGTACACCACTGTATTGTAATCCCTGTATTAGATTAAATACACTCACCCTGCTAATGGAGAAGACAACACCAGGCTTGCCAGAACAGACCCCCATGAAGCAATGGCGAAATTGCCAATAAAAGAGATGTTCACAGATGAAGGTGATGAGGCTGAGGGCCATGGCTGCTCCCAACATATAGAAGACTCCTGCCATGTTGTCAATATCCAGCTGACTACTCATCACCTCATTCTTCTCATTGTGACAAATCCCAGTGAGCCAGAGAGCTTCTAGTTCCTCCATCTCCCCTACAAAAGAGTTGGGAAAAAAATGAAACATGAAATCCATTTGTATATGTGTGTGTGTGTGTGTGTGTGTGAGAGAGAGAGAGAGAGAGAGAGAGAGAGAATCAGAATAATAGAGATTTATATTTTTCTATTTCTATATTTCTATTTCTATTTTTCTGATTTTATTTGGTATTTTAAAGCATTCTTAATGACAAATATGCTTTGCAATCTTCATCCCTGTGACTCACAAAGCTTCTTTTCTGAGATTATTCCCAGTTTCCCATGAACTGAGGAGGCTTAGGGTGACTTGCCAAATACTGCAGGCTACTTCTGCTGACTGCTGGCTGCCTACAGTTTGGAAATTCGAGTCTCACTGGCTCAAGATTGACTCAGTCTTCCATCCTTCCAAGGTCAGTAAAATGAGGACTCAGATTGTTGGGGGCAATATGCTGACTCTGTAAATTGCTTAGAGAGGGCTGTAAAGCACTGTGAAGCGGTATATAAGTCTAAGTGCTATTGCTATTATTTGTGAACACATTACTAAAGGTGATCAAAGATTCATATTTGTGAGGTCACAGCTGAATCTGCAACCTGCTGGATAAGACTGGCACTTGTACTCATTTGTAAAGGGGCAGAAGGTGTAATATATATATATATATATATATATATATATATATATATATATATATATATATATATATATGATTAAAAACAAAAATGCGACTCTTGGGAATATTCATATTGTCAAAATAATGATCACCAAGAGAATATCTATCAAAAATAGAATTTAATCCACCAAGCTTTCGTCAAATACATTTGATATCATCAGGGTTAAAAGGCAAACACCGGGGGAAGTCTTATATACAGTTGTTTAATGCCTGTTAGACTTTATTATATTCCGTTTTGAAGAACCGGAGGGAAAACGGAATATAATAAAGTCTAACGAGGACGATGAGAACGAGGATGAATCCCCCCCTGAGGATACTACCAGGCACATTATGACAACCCGGTCGCAGTCGAGCAGAGGAAGGCACCCCCTCTGACATTCTCAACACAAAGCTGCGCAGTGAAACAGCGACTGCAATTAAAGGGGAAGAGCCCCGTACGGAGTGAGAATGGAGAATTGGGGATGAGTGGGAATGGTGCTTACCGACAATGGACGGAACAACAAGGCACTGACAATGGGACAGTGGCAGAAAACATCCTGAGTGTGTGCAAGGGAGAGAGCATGGAAATGAACAGTAGATTATTCAGGAGAACTCACGGGAAGGAGGAGGGGAGGAGGAATAGCATGGGCTGTGACTATGAGCCTGCGTTACAACCCCGAGGGATAGATAAACAAGATCAAAGTGGTCTTGGGGCTTGCAGGGATATTGGAAGCAATTTAAATAATTGCCCACCCCCGCTCCCTAAGGGAAGCCGTGTGTGGGATGGTGGGGGAGTTATGAGCAGGGGAGGAGAAAAGATCCTGACCCCCAACCGGACCAACCCTGAAACAGCTAATGGAGTAACGTATGACAGAATGCAAATTAGCAATGGAAAGAGGATAGGTGCTGATGTGGGGCGTGTGCTTGAGACTCAACTCGATCAGCTGGGGCCGATGACACGCTCCAGGAGCCGGAAACAGGCATTAAACAACTGTATATAAGACTTCCCCCGGCGTTTGCCTTTTAACCCTGACGATGTCAAATGTATTTGACGAAAGCTTGGTGGATTAAATTCTATTTTTGATAGATATTCTCTTGGTGATCATTATTTTGACAATATATATATATATATATATATATATATATATATATATATATATATATATATATATATATATATATAGGTTTTTAGGTTTTGCTAACAAAGAATAAAGAGAGAATGGTATAGCTATTTCGGGTTCCTTTAACCCTCATCAGCCAAACTTACTCTTCTGAGATTCGAACCTGGGCTATCTGCATGTTAGGCAGATGTTATAACCTCTAAGCCACGGGTTCTCTCCCACTTTGTTAGCTACCAGGAGAGAGACAGGGGGAGGAGATTTTTACCTTGAATGAACACCCTGTCAGCCCAGATATGGGAGAAAGAAAATGATGTAAAATGTAAAATGATGTCGCAGTTAGTGACTGCTGCTTGTGGATGGCTCTAGATTGAGCTGATACAGGCAAAAGAAAAGAAAAGAAAGAAGATTTCTTTCTCCCATATCTGGGCTGAATGTAAAATGATGTCGTAGTTAGTGACTGCTGCTTGTGGATGGCTCTAGATTGAGCTGATACAGGCAAAAGAAAAGAAAAGAAAGAAGATTTCTTTCTCCCATATCTGGGCTGACAGGGTGTTCATTCAAGGTATATATATATATATATTTACATATATATATATGTTTTCTGAGGTTTTTGCGGGTGAGGTTTTTGCGGGTGTTTGTATGTAGGTCTTTGGTTGTTCGGGTTTTCTCCCGCGTAAAATTGGAAGTGTCTTGGCGACGTTTCGACAAAGTCAAAACGTCGCCAAGACACTTCCAATTTTACGCGGAAGAAAACCCAAACAACCAAAGACCTACACACACACACACACACACACACACACACAAACATACATACATACATAAATACATACATACATACATACATACATACATACATACATACATACATACATATATATATATATATATATATATATATATATATATATATATATCAGCTTGGACTCAACTCTTACCCAGAAAAAAGCCCATTTCAGGGAACTTATTATTATTATCTATTATATGGGTAGGTTTAAGATAATAAATAACAACCTTCCTCATATTCCCCTTCCTTCTAAATAAAATAACTTGGTCATGCAACATTCAATACTGTTCAGTATTGCATATCAGGCATAGAATCAAGATCACGCGAGGTATTAGTACCACTTTATAAAACCCTAGTAAGACCACACCTGGAATACTGCAGCCAGTTTTGGGCACCATATCACAAAAAAGATGTTGAAAGTTTGGAAAAAATTCAGAGAAGAACTACTAAAATGATCAAAGGCCTGGAGATCACAACATATGAAGAACGGATATGGAACTTGGGTTTGGCTAGTCTAAAGAAAAGAAGAAATAGGGGAGTCATGATAGTAGTGTTCCAGTATTTGAGGGGCTGCCACAAGGCAGAGGGGACCAGGTTATTCACCAGAGCACCACAGGGTAGGACAAGAAACAGTGGTTGGAAACTAATCAAAGAGAAAAGCAACCAGGAATTAAGGAGAAACTTCCTGACAGGGAGGACAATCAACCAGTGGAACAGCTTATCCCCAGAGATTGTGGGTGCTCCATCAATGGAGATTTTAAAGAGGAGAATGGACATTCATCTGTCTGAGATGGTATAGGTTCTCCTACTTGAGCAGGGGGCTGGACTAGAAGACCTCCAAGGTCCCTTTCAGCTATATTCTGTTCTGTTCTGTTAGTGTCTTCAGCTTCTTTAATAGTAACTTGTATAATAGCACCTGTTTTGCTCTTTAAAAAAGGATTATAAAACTGTATAATAGGTGCAGGTATTCTTTATATACTTTAATTCCTTATCAGTCCAGTGCCAGATGGCATCTTTGCAAAGTAATGACCTCAAATTTATGGTATGGATAACTACACTGGGAATATATTTTGAGACATAATTTACCATTCTCATGATCCTCTGAACTTTGTTTTGGCATGTCAGTTTTGATACATCTGCAACTGCTCTTCCTTTTTTTCGGAAAAAGGTCTGGTTTAATTGTTTTTTTAGTAACATCTCTCAAATACTGTATTTCTTCAAGATTTGCTTTTGTTCAATTTTCAATGTCCTTGAGATTTTTCCAACACTGCCCCCCCTCCAGCCTATTCAAATGGTGTGCCCTGAGTGACTGATGGTCTTGTGGAGGCTCTGGCTGCAGCCTGGAATCAGAAGGTAGCTGGAACCCTGGAGAGGATAATGCCCATCACCTTCTTGACCCATCACCCTCCAACACTCCTCATGATTCATGGAGGTGTTGAGGGTGTTGAAAAGAGCCAAGAAATAGGTAGAGTGCTGCTGAAGGGAGACAAAGAATGAATCCTACTGACCACAGATTAGAGTTGCTAATTAAGGCCTACCTCATTGCAATAAAAGTGGTGAAACATCACTATTTCTTTACATTTATTGCATCTGCCGAGTGTTGCATTTTGGTCCTGTTTAATGTCACCTGGTCCCTCCTCAGGAAGGAGGGCTTGAACAAACATTTATAGGGCCATGCAGAGGAATTTGATGGATAAAATTTCTTGAATTTATTCTCAATTAGATTCCAGCTGTGGAGCAGGTTCATTGAAGATGTCCAAGAAGCATGCTTAGCCAGTTATTTGGTAGCAGTTTGACCCTGTTAGACTTGAGGAAGTATACAGGGTCCTCGGGGCTGTTAGTGCAACTACTTGTTTATTAGATCCTTGCCCTCCTGGTTGGTAAGAGCCTCCAGGATGGTGACTTTAGCTGGTCAGGTCCAGAACAAGAGCATTTTCTACTGTGGTCTCCATCTTCTGGATTTTTCTCCCATCAGAGGTGAGATCCACCACCACATTCCTGGACTTTCAGAAGAGCCTAAAAACCTGGCTCTGCCACTTGATCTGGGGCCCCAACTATGTTAGGGATAGCTGACAGGGTAGAGAAGATTCTCATACCTAAGCTGCCCATTATCTTGGTTCTTAACTTCTAATTTTTTATTCTAATTTTAATTGTTTTAACACATTAACTTTTATGATATTGTAGGCCACCCAAAGTCGCTGTATTAGTGGGATGGGTGGCATAGAAATTTAATTAATAAATATGTTTAATATTTAAGGACCTGACTTTTCCTAGTACCAGTTTTAACTGGTAATTGTGTTCTTCTATGGTGATCCATACAAGAATGTAATTCGCGTATAGCACTGTTGCTTAAATACCTATCATCAATTTTGTAAGGTATGATAGAGGATTTCAAGAGCAGAATTTAACCCAAAGGAGATGCATTTAAGATGTATTGACTGTATATATATTACATTTAAATTCACCTAT